CTGTGGAACATTCCAGAAGAAGAAATAGCACCTCCATGGAGATAAGCAACCTAGAAGTTTACCTTAGAAGTTACATAATGCACCTTTAAACATCAAATCTCACCGTATAATTCTATAACCTTCTAGCTCAGTTTTAAACTCTATATTGTCATGTGAGTATATCCAATTACCAACGTCCTACACAGTCTTACTCCCACTCTATCTCCACCGTTGTGTCCGCTTGCTTTCAAATGGCGTCTCTTCTCGCACAAGATTATTGTTGGCCATATAGCGCTCTTGGCTTTCAGTTCTAATTGCTTGCAGTGGCTGATTGGCGTGGGAATCCAGGCCGTTTCATGACTAAATATTAACCATGAGTAGGAGTACGTGTGTGTGTGTGTGTGTGTGTGTGTGTGGCGTGCTGTGTTCCATTAGTCCGAAGCATGGCGAGGGTAATTTTACGTTTTCTTTTAGCGAGGTGTGAATTATATAGTAGTTGTCATCTCGTGATATCTCTAACGCACAATATACATACACGCCGTAGGGAAGAAACAGCGCAATTTGAAGTTTCGAGTGTGATTTGCATTTTCTCACCGCCATAAATGTCAGTTCCAGCGGAGATGTGTGGGGACATAAAATGGAGTACACATGTTGTTCAAAGCAGAGGAGAGATTTAGTTTCGTTTTATCTGTCAGTCTTGGTTGTATCTTTTAGGATTTATTCTGGTAAATTATCGCCAATCCCCAAGTGAGGAATTTTATGAGCGACGGAGAATGATTGGTGCAGGGTTAGGGCTGAACGATTTGAGGGAAATATCTAAATGCGATTTTTCTGACGAGCGTTGCCCTTGGGATTAAATTTGGTACTGTGTTTTAAAGGTGCACTGTATAACTTTTCTGGAGGAGGGTCTGCCACCTGCTTGTCTCCATGGAGATATTACTGTTTTTGATCATTCCACAGTATGGAAATAAACTAGGAAATCAAAATAGAGACAGGTTAGTAGTCCAGTGAGGTTCATTTGGTCTTCCGATAATTTATGTTCTTAGGTTCTTTTTTCAGACCAAAAGTTTGTTTTCATACCTGACAGTTTCGATTGCTCACTAGTAGAGATTTCACAATAATTGAAATATTGTGAAATCGTACCGTCAAAAGTTCCTTTGCTTAAATGCATGGTTTTATAGTAGCAACAGCTTAGGAACATCAGAAACTACATATCCCAAGATTCCTTTCAGTGCAGACAACATGAAGAAATACATTTTTTTTTACTTGAATTCTTGGGATTGTGATGGAAATAATTCACACCAAAATCTTGTCAAGGTATTTTAAAAGCAAAAAATTTGGATTTCATCTACAATTATATTTGCCTCTTCAAAATATCGCAATAAATATCGTACCGTCAGATGCATATCATAATAATATCGTACCATGAGATTTGGATGTCGTTACATCCCTACTCACTAACAGTCACGTGATCTTGCTGTGACGTGTCCGGTCAGCTGATATATACAGGTTTTGGCACAACACAATATCAAGACACCAGTGAAACCGTACAGAAAACTTAATTACAATTACTCATCCACCCAAAAGTCAAAATAGAATCAGAGCATAAATGTAATATCATAGATGACACACCCTGCATGTCGTGCAATAAAACATACTTCTGGGAAACAGGGAGGGCATTCAGTACACGAAAAACGAACATAGGAGATAATGCGAAGTGTGCATGAGCAACAAATCACAAAGCAAAACAGGAACAACTTAAATCTGTCAGTTCTGACCAGTGTAAAAGAAAGAACCATATTATGCACTGGGAGAGAGCAAACATCACTGGGACAAAGGAAAACAAACGCCATAAAAACATAAAGAGGCATAAAGAGGCAATTGAAATACGGAAATGTGCCCACGGGATTATAAACCGGGATGAGGAGGGATTTTTTACTCTCACACACCTGGGATACTGTCCTGAGGAAGTTGGACTGCAGATGGCGCTGTTGTCCTGCCTCCACCGGTAGGAAGACCAGACACGTCACAGCAACATTAACCCTAACCACTCTGAGGAAGTCCGCCGCTAGTGAGCAGTCAAAACTCTCATGTATGAAAACAAACACTTGGTCTGAAAAAATAACCAAATAACAGAGACAGGTTCGTGGTCAGATCTATGGAGAAGCAAGCCTGCACACAGTAATTCATGTTTTTATGGTATTTCTGAGGGAGATATGTTTAATGCCCTACTATGGAACATTCCAAGCAAAGAAATAACAGCGCTATGGGGACAACCAAGAGCAGACTCTCCACCTTAGACGTTACATAATGCACTTTCAGTAATAGAATTCTGTTCAAAGTTCATTTCACTGCGGTGAATTGACCAAAACACTGAAATGTGAACTGACAAATAATTAAAAGAATCACATTTCAGATCTAAACTACAAGGTCAGCTTTTCATACACACAGTATGACAGGACATTTTGTTGTTTGTGGAGGAAATTATGGTACTTCAAAAAATGCAGCCTCTGGGATTTGCTAATTGTGTCCATTAAAATTGTGATTTTGAATAATATTGCAGCCGCCTTAGTGCATGTAATGATTAAAGGTGCATTGTGTAACTTTTCTGGTGAAGGGTCTGTCAAATACTTTTCTTTTTAGAGAAATGTTTCACAGTATGGCAATAAATGTTTCTATCTTCATGGAGACCAAACCAGACCAAGTTACAGGTCAGATCTGTGGAGAGGCAACCCGGCTCACAATCAGAATGCCTGTTTTTCTAGGTATTTTTGAGCAATAAAACCACCTGTAATTGAATAAATGTCAGGTCGAGCTGTTTAATGTCACATTGTGGAACATTTTAGACAACACAATGACATATCCATTGATACCGAAAAGTTACACAATGCACCTTTAATATTTCTAACTTAATTTTTTGTCAGGGAGTTGTTTTGACCCGAGTTGTTTTTCTTGTGCTGCATTCAAGTGAATTTTTCAACTCGGAAAAACATGTCCCAGAGTTCCTGAGGAGCACATGAATGCAGCATATGCCCCTGCTCTCCATCTGAAATTAAAACATTATCATAATAATGACATTGATGATGACTGAGTGCAAATGAAAAGAAAAGAAATGATTGCTTTCCACTTTTGGGACTAAAAGTGTTGTGCACAGCAGAGGGCATCGTGATAGTAACTACAGAATATATGGAAGAACTAGGTTTTCATGTAAAGAAAAGATGATAATAATAAAACATATCTGAAGCAGCATTAGGTTACATTCACACGTTTTGAGCATTGTGATGAGTTTTGTGTTCCAACATAAAAACATATCACTTAAATCTCTAAATCTGTTCTGGTACATTTTAACTTCAAACTTAAGAAGTGGCTTAAAGAGTTGGGGCTGTAGCCTTTACTTTGTCTATAGGAATAATGTATATACAGTATGTAAATATCAATTTGTAAAGTTGTATTTGGAGCATTGATGAACTGCTCCTTCTGCTGATGATAAGTTGTGGGCATTTGTTTTTGTTTGTTTTTTTAAGCTGCATTTTAAAGGTTACATGGGTTATTTTATGAAGTATCTGCACAATGTTACGTGTTGTTACTTTGCCTCTGCCCAGGGACTACAGAAGAAAATTAGCTTATAGCTAAATCTGGTCTGTGCAATAAAACAAATAAATACAAATAAATGAATTGCCCATGTGCAATGTATACGCTTTCCTTACTTGACTACTACTAGTAGCAGTAGTAGTAGTAGTAGTAGTAGTAGTAGAACAAAGTCAAGTAAGTCAAGTATTTCTACTACCACCACTGTTACTACTATTACTAACACTATTACTATTACTACCACTACTACCCCCTACTACCACCACCACTACTACCGCTACCACCACCACTACTCTCACTACCACCACCACTACTACCACTACCATCACTACTACTACCACTGCCACCACCACCACTACTACCACCACTACTACTACCACCACTACCACTTCCACTACTACCACTACCACCACCACAGCTACTACTGCTACTACCACTGCTACTACACCAAAGACTTCCATGTGCCCCAGAGCAGCAGGGCCAGTGACAGAACCACAGCCCTTACAGGGACTGAGCCCAGGCTGGAGTAAACTGGGTCGGCCATTGAAAGAAAAACTAACTCTTGTATTCCCTGAGAAGCAAACATCACATATGTGTACTGTGGATGGAATTAATCAGGTTTAATTGTGGGTCCAATTAAAACAGTCCATTGTTCGGGGCCGTGGGGACAGGACGCAGCCGTAAACACAGATAGCTTTACTGTACTGAGGGAAGATGCTCATATTCTGAGACAAAAGAGTCTGTGGTCCCCCGAGTGGATTTGTACAAACATCATAACACTCTCTCTCCTCACAGCAGCAGAGGAGGAGGAGGAGGAGGAGGAGGAAGAGGGGGGGTACACAGTGGTGATGTCATGTGCTGCGGGCGTGTGCGAGAGGGTATCTATGACATCGTGGGGACTAAAATCTGTATACTCAGCCACTACAGGGATCTAGCTTCCATATGAGGACTATAAAAGCCTGGATAGCAACCTTAGCAGTCTGAGAGGAACAGAGTCAAGCTGAGCCGATTTTTAGTGCAGACCCAAAGTGCATTTATTCCATAACCAAAAAAAAAATGTGAAAAATATTTACAAAAGTTAAAAACAAGCCTGGCAAAACCTGCACCCACACACAGCACCTTCTCTTGACAAAGGTGAGGCTTCTACTCTCTTTAATTGGGTGAGCTCATCTCAAAGTACAGGTAATTACAGGTCATTTAGTTCAAATATTTAAAAAAATTAACCATATCAAAACAGTGTCCAAATATTCAACTAAATCTAAGTACAAATATATATATGTTTATTAATTTAGCAGTGTTTTATTATTAATTTAAAAATACTAAATAGAAAAGAGTTAAAATATCTGCACACCCCTCCTCCTAACAAAATGGTTGCCTGCACTGGAACCTTCTTAAAGTGCTCCGGCTGCCTGGGGACTCTTTTAACCGGAACACCTGAGGCAGACAACACAAGAGGGTAAGTACCATGATCTAATTAAAATAACTGGATAGGGTATAGCTAGATTGTAGCTGCTTCCAGTTGACGTAGTGGACACTCACTGGTACTTCAACGGAAAAAATCCCATGAGCTGAGACTGGATTTTTCACATAGTGCGCAATGTAATCACAAACTGCTTGTGTTCAGCTGACAAGGCACCTACAACTTTCAAAAATGTTTGATTTTGTGGCGATTTTTACGTATTTTTTAGGGGTGTAACGATATCCAAGTCTCACGATATGATATTGTCACTGTATGAACCTCATGGTACGATATTTACTGCGATATTGTGGGAAAGCTCACGATATGGTGAGGAGGCTCACGATTAGGGATGTAACAATATCCAAATCTCTGAGTATGATATTTTCACGATATACATCTCACAGTACAATATTTATTGCGATATTTTGTGGAGGCTAACAAAACTGTTAATATGCTACTTTTTCCTCTTAAAATGCCTTGACAAGACTTAATCCAAAGAACTAAGACTTAAAAGTGCTTAGAACTGTTATTCCTTCTTGTAGTCTTCACTAAAATGGAGCAAAGGATCATAGTTCCCTCTGTCTTTTTTTAGCTATTGCTGCACCATAACTCTTAATTTAAGAGACTTGTAATTTGACATATTGTGATGATCCACGATATTATTATTGTGAGAACTTTGACGATACAATATCATGATATTTCAGTTATTGTTGCACCCTTACTATTTTTAGATCATAAACTTTTTCTCAGCTCAAAATCCTTCAGTTGTCTTAAAAAACACGTTATCATCGTTAGCTCCGGCTCCGCTCTAGCTCCTCTCGCTCTGATTGGTCAAAGCGAAAAGAGCACTACTGCGCACGCTCAAACGGCCCACAGCCACTGTAAGTACCTCGCCCGGCTAAAGGCGAATTTGGAGTCATGCACCACTGAGCTCGATCCATTGACTTGAACGGGCGGCCATTCTGAAACCTCGGGGCTTGGTAAGTACAATTCATTTTAACCACAATTACTGATAGAAATGCACGTCTACCATTTACTTATTTCATTTTCTTTTACAGGTCACTTCACTGCGAAACACAATTTTCAATCAATCATTCAATAACGTTTTTAAAACTTTGCATTTGTTTCTGTCCTTTTAACACTTATTAGTTGACATCAAGTCTTTGTAATGGACTAGCTACATTACAAAGACGAACACCAGGTCCCCATGGTTTATATCCTTTGTTAGATGAACTAAGGTTTTAAGTTCAGATATGGTTTTAAAAATAGGTTCAGATTAGCCACAAAGTAATTAAAGAAATATATTATGCTTTTGTCGGCTGTATAGTTCTGAACCAGGCCCCCGTGATGTAAAGCTTTTATTATTAGCTCAATACCGCTGTTCTACATTCAGATATGGATTAAAATAGGTTAATTATCATGATTAAGGTAAAGGTTAATGAATGCAAGTCAATATAATGCCTTCAAAAAGCGTGGAAATGAGTGGAGTGTGAGCAGATCTTAATCACACTGTGGGGACTAAAATTTGTAAACTCGACAATATACATGGACCTGTCTCACGTACTCGGACACAATCCTTTATTATTGGATCAACGTGATTTACAGTTCATGCATGGAGTAAAATATGCTAAGATAAGGCAAGTATACTGTTACATAGACTATGGTTAAAGGTGCACTGTGTAACTTTCCAGGTGGAGGATGATATTACATACAGTGGATATAAAAAGTCTACACACCCCTGTTCAAATACCAGGTTTTTGTCATGTAAAATAATGACAGCAAGACAAATGATTTCACAACTTTTTCCACCTTTAATGTGACCTATAACCTGTACAATGCAATTGAAAAACAAACTGAAAACTTTAAAGGGGAAAAATATAAAATAAAAAACTTGAAATAACCTGGTGGCATAAATATGCACACCCTTAAACTAATACTTTGTTGCAGCACCTTTGGCTTTTATTACAGCACTCAGTCTTCTTGGGTAGGAGTCTATCAGTGTGGCACATCTTGATGTGACAATATTTGCCCACTATTCTTTGCAAAACCGCTCCAAATCTGACAGATTGCAAGGGCATCTCCTGCACACAGCCCTCTTCAGATCACCCCACAGGTGTTCGATGGGATTCAGGTCTGGACTTTGGCTAGGCCATTCCAAAACCTCAATCTTCTTCCGGTGAACCCATTCTTTTGTTGCTTTAGATGTGTGCTTTGGGTCATTGTCGTGCTGAAAGATGAAGTTCCTCTTCTCTTTCTAACAGAAGGCCGAAGGTTTTGTGCCAACACTGACTGGTATTTGGAACTGTTCATAATTCCCTCCACCCAGTTCCAGTTGAAGAAAAACAGCCCCAAAGCATGATGCTGCCACCACCGTGCTTCACTGTAGGTATGGTGTTATTTTGGTGATGAGCAGTGTTGTTTTTGCGCCAAATATACCTTTTGGAATTATGTCCAAAAAGTTCAACCTTGGTTTCATCAGACCATAACACATTTTCCCACATGCGTTTGGGAGAGTTCAGATGTCTTTTTGCAAAATTAAGTCGAGCTTGGATGTTTTTCTTTGTAAGATAAGGCTTGTAGGCAGTACTTGGTCGGCCTCTTTGCAGCCTCCCTGACTAGTTTTCTTCTCGTCTTATCATTAACTTTGGGCGGACGTCCGGTTCTTGGTAATGTCACTGTTATGCCATAGTTTCTCCACTTGATGATGACGGTCTTCCCTGTGTTCCATGGTATATTTAATTCCTTGGAAATTCTTTTGTAGCCTTCACCTGACTGATATCTTTGAATAATGAGATCCCTCTGATGCTTTGGAAGCTCTCTGCGGACCATGGCTTGGGCTGGAAGATGTGGCTACAAAAATGTGAGGAAAAGCCGACTAGAACAGCTCACCTTTATTTGATCAGAGGCACTTTAATTGGTGACAGGTGTGTGCTGACTCCAGTTTAACATGAGTCTAAATGTAATCGGTTAAATCTGAACATGGCCACATCCCCAGTTCTAAAAGGGTGTGCACACTTATGCAACCACATTACCTCAGTTGTTTATTTTTATTTAACCTACCTGAAAGATTTCTGTTAGTTTTTCAATTGCGTTGTACAGGTTATAGGTCACATGAAAGGTGCAAAAAATTGTGAAATTATTTATCTTGATTAGTTTTTTTTACATGACAAAAACCTAGCATTTGAACAGGGGTGTGTAGACTTTTTATATCCACTGTATCTATTTCCATGGAGACAAGCAAATCTTTTTATCATTCATTCATTCATTTGTTTTTCAAAACAAAATCAAAAATAAGAAAATGAAAAAAAAAATATATTCTTCATTATTTGTCTCCAAAACTAAAATGAAATAACAAATAACGATTTTAATATTTTTTTTTTTCAGTTTTCAATTTTGAGTTTAAATGAATAATGGGAAAAATGGATAATGGCCATTTCCTGTTTCTGTGACTTAAACTGTGATGCCCGACTGAACCAAAATTGAACCAGGACTAAACCAAGGACTAAACCAGGATTAAACCGGGTCTAAACCAGGACTAAACCAGGTCTAAACCTCAGACCGAGGCCAGATCGGGAATGAGACAGAGACTGAGACCAAACCAGGATTGAGACTGGGACTGAGACCAGGACTGTTACCTGGACTGAGACTGGGACCAGATGAGAATTGAGACCAGGACCAGACCGGGACTATACCGGGATCAGAACAGAACTGCAACTGGTTTAGTCCTGGTTTAGTCCTGGCTTAGACCTGGCTTAGAACTGTTTCAGTCTTGATCAGTCTTTATGTGGCACAAAAGTCCGGCATTGCAATTTATGTCATGGAAATGGCGTTTTTTGTTTTGTTTTGTTTTTTTTAGTTTTCCATTTTGTTTTCTTGTTTTTGCTTTTATTTTGAAAAATGAATGAACAAATAATCCACAGATTCAAGCCCTATGCCAGTTGACAGGTCTGGTTTGTGGAGAGGAGGCCCACTTACAGTGCTCATTTTTCAAGGTATGGCTTTATTGTAAAACATCTCTAATTACATAATAAACAAGTGTAATGCCATACTGTGGTACATTCCAGGGAAAGCAACCTCCCAAGCATATCTGCATGGACACAACCAAGTGCCAGACTCATCAGAAAACTCAGTCTCTATGAAATGAATACAAGTCATTGTACTGTCTCCAAAAAGCATGCAAACCCAACATGTGCGCTCGTGTGTGTGTTTGGGGGAGGGGGTAGAAGAGGACAATAAAATGTTAGAATCCAGAAGGCAGAGCTCTCCCCTGACCTGCCTCTGACTCACACACTGCCTTTGCCTGGTCAGGGGACGTTGCATAATGCATTGCCCTATTAAATCCACATAACAATAATACACAGCTTATTTCTCTTTTCAAACACGGTGATATACAAACTCTACACGGACAGATGATGTTTAAACTCATGACAGTACATCCTGAATCTCTCTCATTGCTGTACTCGAGCTGGACTCCACAGTGAATCGGACTAACTGAGACAATGACTGTGCCGATCACAGGGCAGCATTATGTTTGGGCTGAAGCCAAAAGCCCAGCGGACCAAAACAAACATGGAATTACATGGACTGCAGACTCCATTTTAGCAGAAATTATTTTTAGACTATTTTGGTATTTAGAAAAAAGAACAACGGGAGGAGCTTGGTCATAATGGTCATAAACCTGATTCCCCAGACATGTTAAACTCAAATATAGATCTACTGACTACAATTATAATGCCAATTTAGTCTTTTTTATTTCGTCATTGTACTCAATAGTTTATTTCTCACATGTCACAGTACATATGATAAGTTTTTTTTAGTTTTTTTTTTTATCCCAAATAAAATGAATATCAACATAAGGGTATATAAAAAGAAAAATAAATAATAATAATGATGATATTAAGAAATGTTAATGAATCAATAATTTAAATCAAGTGACATAAAAATATAAATAAATAAATAAATAGTGATCATAAAAAGCCAATGTATTTTTAATTGCAAAACATGACATGACATTTATGTTATAATCTGCTGTTTTGGTTGTCAAGATGATGAGCCAATCAGAAAGCAGAAAGAGCCTCACATGAGTCCCTTTGGGTCGCCAGATTCAATGCTGAAATCCAGTTGATATAGCCCATGAACACCGACTGTCACAAATACGCGACAAACCGTTTGGATCAAGATATAATTTGAGATAACGGTTCGTGCATATCCAGTAACTTCCTAGGAACAAATTTGCAGCATACCCAAATTTTTACTTTTTTTTTTTTGCTTTAGTCAAATTAATAATCTCAATTTAATTTACCATCTACTTAAAGGCAAAAACACATACAAAACCTTTTTATATACGTCTAGATAAATTCAGGCGTTAAGGGGTTAAACTTAAAAGGACTCTCCCCAGTATTTGTACCCATCATTAATCAGTGATAGTGAAGAGTCACATGAGGTATATGGCCTTTTCATACACTGAGGAACAACTTGTATGTGTGCTCCAGCTGTGGGAATACTCACTCACCCACTGCATCAGACTACAGAGGGACAGAGGAGCTCATTCTCTAACAGGCTCCTACAGCTCCACTCAAACAGTAAGAGATACAGGACGACATTATACCATACTCCATACAACTGTACAATAACTCACCCTTATGTAACAAATAACCTTCATCTTGACACTGTTTCTCCTTATGACCTCGTATACAACTGAGATATATTTATGTTTTATTTGACACCAGTCTCTTGTTTTTTTTGCTACTTATTTTTGAATTTATTATTACCATTTATTAGGGGTGTAATGGTACACGTATTCGTGCCGAACTGTTTTGGTATGGGACGTTCGGTTCAGTGCAGGGCTGTGCACGAGTGAGTTCGCGCAATTTGTGTGTTTACATTCTGCCACTACATGTGCAGCTACCACGGAAGACTCAGCTCTTTAATATTCAGGAGGGAACTAGTCCGTGATTGGCGTCCCTCCAAACCACATGAATCCTTGCAAAACTACGGTCGTCGCGCTGCTTTCCTCACTTTTGCCTTCACTTTCATGGACAAGTTGTTTTTTCTGGCCAAAAATATGAAGATTCAAACTTTAAGAGTTCAAGAGTAA